GGCTGCACCACAATGAAAATGTGCTTCACGCCGCTGAACTGTGCCCTGGAAAATGGTTAAGATGCTCAATTTTGTGTTATGTAATAGACAAATAAATGTTAAGTAGTGAACAAAATTTAGAAAAATTTTCTAAATGGTAAAAAGAAATCCTAAAGATTATGCACCGAGTTGTTCGTAGTGGTCACTTTTTGAGCACGAGATTCCAGGCCTTACGCTCTCTGTGTCACATATTTCGCTCCTGTTTGCACTGTGATAATAAGAACAGAGCGGCACTGACTGAGCCCCAACTGAGCACAGGTGCTGTGCCCGTGGCCCAGCCCGCCCGCTCTCCCCCCGCAAGATGAGGAAACCAGGCACCGAGAGGTGAGGGGGTGGGCCCCTGCCTCTTTCCACCTCTGTCACCCCCACAGGGGCAGGAACCACGTCCCTGACAGTGACGATGATCTAAACGTCAAGGGACAGGCTCCCCCGGCCGTGCTGCCCGTACCCTCTGCACAGCCTGCGCCCCAGTCGAGGCTTCAGATGCCGTTGGTGCTGAGGCCGGTGGGGGCTGCGCAGAGCCTGCCAGGCATGGCCTGCAGTGTCTCTCTGATCTGATCTCCAGATCTGCCCAGCCCCAAAGTGGGCATAGTGGGTAGGGGTGGGCCGGGGGCCACTATGACCTTGGGGCCCGAGCCACCTTTCCTTGGCTGAGGCTTACGGAGGAGGGGGCAAGTCCGAAGGATCAGGCTGCCAGGTACCCAGCACCAGGAAGGGAGTCAGCAGGGGGAGGAGCTGAGATGGCCCTGGGGTATTCTGGGCGGCTGTGTGCCCCTGGCCCTCATGCTGTGGCTGCCCCACTTGGCTCCTGGGCCCCAGGCATCTCAAGCCTTGAGTGTGTGTCCCTAGTCTCGGGACCACTTGTGTTTATGAGCAGACACGGGAGAGTGGGCGAGGCCTCATCCTCAGGGGAGACCCGCTGTGAGGGGGTTACTGGTGAGGGCGTGCTTCTTAAACCTCACATTACAGCCGACCCTGCTCAGGACGACAGAGGGACGGGAAGGAGCTGCCCCGAGCTCCCCAGGGAGATACGTCACCCTGGGGTGACTCTCCGTCTCCCAGCAGCCCTTAGTCAGCCCTCCTCAGCCTGGTTTCCGTGATCCCACCAGCCAGATTGCCAGATTTTTCCTGCCTCGAGCATCTCCCTAGGCCGAAGGGCACTGGCTGCAGCCGCCCCGTGTTCCCCGGGTAGCAGCCTGGCCTGTCTGGCTCAGGTCCCCAATCCAGCTTCAGTGCCCCCACTTGCTCCATTGCGGGCGTTGGGGAGCCAGCCGGAGCCGGCCTCATGCGGCAGAGGCGATGGGGGATTACGGCGAGCACGGATGACAGTGTCAGAGAGATGCAGAACAGCAAAGGGCTTATTAAAACGCCGAAATTGGTTCCAAATGAGGTCAGCCGTCGAAGCGCCTTGGAAGAGAGCCAGGCGCTGAGCAGCCAGCAGTGGTTATTTCCTGACAGGGTGGCAGGGACATCCGGGTGCCACCCTCAGCCCCCTCCCATCTTGGGAGGGCAAATGGCACTGGAAACATCAGATCAGAACCAGGTGACAGGGGGTGGAGCAGAGGGGCCGAGCGCCCCCCTCCCCCTCCCAGGGCTGGCCAACCCAGCACCCGTGGTGTCCAGAAGGCACCGGAGCAGCCAGGTGTCTCCCCCGACCCGGCCAGGGCAGGGACAGCGAGCACCGCTTCCTCACCACAGGCTCAGATTGCCTGTTTTTAAAAATCCATTAATGCAAGGAGCGGCACATCGCGGCTGAGGCCGTCTGATTGGACCGGCTCCCTCCCACCCCCGGCCGGAGCCTCCCCAGCTTTTCTCCCTGGTTGCATTTCTCATCGGAGCATCCGGCCCTTCCTCCTGACTCCAGTGGAATTTCCCTGACCTTGGCTCCCTCCAAGCACAGGCGCCCCCCCAACCCCGGCTAAGAGCCCACTTTAGGGGCCTTGACCTCCAGCACCTCCAGCGCGCTGCCTAACTGCCTCTCTGAGACTGAGGATGGTCCCAGACCTGCCCCCCCAAGGCTGGCGGGGGTGACGAAACAAAGCAGGTGAAGGGCAGGGTGTGAACATACTTCCTATTTCGTTTAATTACTAGTTCTCGGTAATTAGTGTTTCTGAAATCAGCCAAATCAGTTTCGTCAAACGTGATAGGAAGGCCGGCGTTCCAGCCCAGTTCTGAGCTGGAGAAAGAGGATGCCTTTTGAAGCCTGTTAAAAATAAACACGTGTATGTGCACTCTGCTGTTTACGAAGAGCCGTGCAGGCCTTCCCCCCGGGCACTCCCAGAGACTGCGCATCCTACCGCATCCAGAGAGGAACGGAGGCGGGAGGTGCCCTGAGCCGCCTGACCCCACGGTCAGGGCTGACGCTCTGTCCTGGGGCTCCGGACCCCGATCCTGGGCCCTGGCTCCCAGGCCTCACCTCCTCTCACTCCCCAGAACTGCTGGATTGAAGGGAGCCAGAGGGATAAATTCCTGTTGTCACCCAACTCGTCACTCTCCAGATGGGGCGGGGGTCTGGGGGCAAAGTGCTTCTACAAGGATGCCCAGCCAGGCTCAGCAGGGGCGGGGCAGGTTCAAACACAGACTCTGACCCTGGGCTGTGCCCGATGAGGGCCTTGGGGTCTCCCCTGCCCAGAGGGGCACCCACTGCTCGTTCTTCCCCTCTCCCAGCGGAGCTGCCTGGATGCCTGGGGGCTTGCCCAGAGCTGGACGTGCCCTGGAGCCCATCACCCCCACTTTGAATCTGCTAACTTTTCTCATCGTACACACGGGGAAAACGGGTGCCCGCCTAAGGAGCCATCTCGCCCCTCGCTGTGGCCCCTCCCTGACCCTGGGGGTGAATGTCCATGGTATGTCATGGTCTCGAATGCCAGATGCCGGCTAACGTGGCACAAATGAGGGGCGTGGGAAAGAATTTGGAGGATGTGGACGGTGCCCCCTGGGGTGGGGTCTTCAGAACCTGGTCTCACATGGTCCCTGGCCTGTGCTCACTGTCATCCTGCAAGGCAGGCTTGCCTAAGGGGCCTTGGGATGGATGCTGAAGCCTGACATCCTGGTGCCCCGAACCACAGGAACACGGTCCTCTCAGCTTCCCCCTAAGTGCCCCCTGTGCTCCGGGAGGTGTGGGCCGCAGGACCTCCCTGGGCTCCCACGTCTCCCCGGTCTTGGTGGCTGTGACCTCCTGGCCCCACAGGGCCTGCTTCTGCGGCCCATCAACTTTCCTTAGGCCCAGGAGGGTGCCTGTGGCGTCACCCCCTCGTTCATTAGTTCATTCACCCCTTTATCTCGCCCCCGCTCTGTACCGCCCGTCTGGGAAAGGGGACCCAGTGTGGGACGGGGCAGACAGCCACGCCCTGCGGAGAACAGCAACTTTGGTGTCAGTTCCAGCAGAGTGGCACGCTCATAACCCAGTGGTTTCTGCACTGGGCTCTCGCCCACCTGGGCCTGCGGGTCGGGGTGAGGGCTCCGCTCTGCGTGCAGCCGAGGAGGAGGGTCCCCTGGCCTTCTGTTGCATCTTTCTTTCTGCTGCCCAGTCTAGCTTTGCGGGAGGGCATGGCCGCAGTGAGGCAGAGAGAACCTCCCTCGCGGGCCTGGGGAGGCCTGGAACTTTCTGCAAACTTGATCTTCATGCAGAGACGGTCATTCCTTCCTAAGGAATGATGCTCAGAGAAAAACCAGAGCCCAGCGTGGCCTGCTCAGGGCTGGCCTATACAGATCCTCAAGGACTTGAAGTCAGGCTCCAGCTAGGGACACCAGTGTGCTCCTATGGTTGGGTTGTTGGTTTCTCCAAAGAAAGCAGGAATGGGAGGAGGAAGAAGGTAGGAAGGAAGGAAGTCAGGTGCCTGAGGGGTAGGGGGCCAAACTCAGAGTGGAGAGAGCAATCAGGGAGAACTTCCTGGAGGTGGGACCACGAGTTGAGTCCACTCTGCACAGAGAAGGACGGCAGTGAGCCGGGGTGCAGTGAGACTGATGCACGAGGCTCTCAGGGCTGTGAATCCCAACGGGTCTGTGCAAAGGCCTCGTGGCAGGTGTGGAGAAACTGTGCAACAGGCCGGCTGCCATGGGAGTGTGCAGATGCAGGCTAGGTCTGCTCTAGCCTGGAGGACGTTGTTAGGTTTGGAGACAGAAAAGCAGGCCTGTCGCTCACACCACTTTCCGCGAGGTCTGTCCCCCAGCAGTGTGCCCTGCGGTCTGCCTGGAGCAAGGCATCGCAGAGTCTGCTCCCCAGAAACGCCCCCCGAAGTCCAGGCCCCCAGAAACGCCCCCTGCAGCCTGCCCCCCCAGCAGAGCACCCAGTGTCATCGGCCCTGCCCCCCGCAGAGCACCCACTCCTTCTGGAGCAGCCGTGGCACCAGCTGGAGCCTGTGGGGAAATAGAGGAGACAAAAGTGGGAACAGCAGGCTGAGGAGAGAGTGTCTAAACACAGGACTATTTGGGGATCGTCTTTTATTCTTGGTTTGAAGTTGGTCCGCCCTCCAGCATTGTGGAAACGGCTCCCCGGGCCAGGCCCACTGCAGCGAGGTCTCATTCCCCACTGGTCACCTTAGAGATAACCTCGGGGCCTCAGTCTTCCCATCCACGGATGGGGCGGCATGGAGCCCACATATCAGCTGTGCGGGACAGGACAGACAGCCTGCTGGTGGTCAGCCCAGTGCCCAGACGAGGGCATCTGAAAGGGCTTCTGGCCACGAGGAGGAGGAGCTGCTCTCCGGACAGCTCTTCCGAGACGACGCAGAGGGACGGAATCAGCCAGTCTGCTCCAATTCCCACTGATGATGTCCATGTGTCATTAGCGCCAATTAGCAGAGGATGGAGGCAAAGTGTTTGGCCTGGGGCAGGGGCTGGTGGGAGGGTCAGCAGGACAATTGAATTCCCCACCAGACAAATGTGATTACCGGGGCAGCCTGGACCCACCCCCTGGAGGGCCCGGACATAAATGGCCAGGTGGGGCGGCCAAGCACACCCAGCCATGAAGGTCCCCAGCCCCAGCGTGCGCGAGGCAGCTTCCATGTACGGCACAGCGGTGGCCATCTTCCTGGTCATCCTGGTGGCCGCGCTGCAGGGCTCGGAACCCCCCGAGAGCCCCTTTCCTTACCGCATCCCGCTGGACCCCGAGGGGACCCTGGAGCTCTCCTGGAATGTCAGCTACGTGCAGGAGACCATCCACTTCCAGCTCCTGGTGCGGGAGCTCAAGGCTGGGGTCCTGTTTGGGATGTCGGACCGTGGTGAGTTGGAGAACGCTGACCTGGTCGTGCTCTGGACCGATGGGGACAGTGCCTATTTTGGGGTAAGTCTTTCCTCGACCCCAGTGCTGCTGACCTGGCCCTGACCCGGCCCTCAGCCAGCCTTCATCCTACACTGGCCCTCCTTGACCCAGCAAAGGAAGTTTTTCTCTTGCCTCTCTGCGTTTGCTCTGATCTTAGCTTCTATCCCAAGCTTGGGCATCTCAGGGATGCCGATTTGTGGACAAAATGGGAAAGAGGTGTCTTCCATGGCCCTCGATTGCACACTCCAAAGAACATAACCCAGCGTGCCCGAGGAGCGTGACCACAGGACCCATGCATCCCATAGACGCACGCTACCCCACCCGCCCCACCCTCATGAGGCAGACCCCGAGTCCCCACTCGCACAAACAGTGCACCACACCCTCCCACGCCGGCCTCCTGGTTGCACGTGGCCAAGTGAGCACCTGGCGTGCGCACCCGCTGCCCAGGAGGCAGCACACACAGACCTAGTGCTTGCACACGCGGGGGCCCGAGCAGGTGCCGAGTGCCCTCCCACCAGTTGTGGAACACACCCACGGAGCTGAGCGGGACACTAAGGGTGTGCTCTTGACGCCTGTTTTCAGAGCATACCCCCGTTCCTGCCATAGAGGGTGGAGAAAAGGAAGTTTCCCTTCAAACTAGAGAGGCTTGGGGCCCTCGACATGCTGAAGGGAGGGTCCCAGGGAGCCCAGCTGCCATACTCTGAGCCGCCTCCCGCCATCCTCCCCAGACGAGCCTGGCCACCAGGGCCTCTCGGGGGACAGACGAAACCCAACTCTCTCCACAAAATCAGACACAGGAGCTGGAAACGATTGTTTGAAGTCAGGAGGCACCTGCCTGATCTGTGAGTGGAGGGGCTTTCACTCCAGGGAAGCAGGGAGCCTGGCAGGAGCTCTGGGCTGGAAGTCAGGAGGGGAGAGTCGGACCCCTGCAGCCACTCCACGCTCCTAGCCTCGGCGTCCTCCTCTCAAGAGTGGGGACAATAATCCTGCTGCCCCTTTTTGGGTTGTGTGAATTCACACGAGCTGACAATGGCTGATCCTTCTGGAACCTGCCTGTGCTCCATCCCATCCCCACGGCAGCTGCAGGCACGCCCTGTGCCCATTGCACAGGTGAGGCCAGAGGCTGGGCAAGCTGGAGCCTTTGGCTTGGGGCCACCCACTAGGATCCGGTGCAGCTGCCCGGTTGGGGCCCAGCTCGGCCTCCTGGTTGCCCTGCCTCCCCCACACAAGGATGATCAGTGGCTTATGGGGTCATGGCCAAGAAAGACCCAGGGCAGCCCCAGTGGTAAGCCGTTCCGGGGGAGTAGGCAAGCTCCTGAATCAGGAGGACTAGCTCCTGTCGGGGCAGCTTCCCCGGCTGCCAGGAGAGCCGGGTGGGCCTCACCCTCCCGCGGGCTGCTGCGAGATTAATCTGCGCAACCAATTCCTATGCAAACAAATGTCAGACTTGTTTTTCCCCCCTTAGCAATGTGTTCAACAAATACATTCTCGATTTCCAGCCCAAGGATCACAAGCTGACTTTCTGCCACTGTTTAAAATTAGTCCTTCTGCAGATCGCAGCGTCCCTCAGCAGGAGCTCATTGTGGTATCTTTCTCCAGGGAAAACTTTGCGAAATCTTTTGCAGCTTTCTTTTTTCTTAAGGAAATTAAGAAAACATGCTTTAGCCCTGGATGCAGGGTTAAGAAAAAAAAACCCAAGGCCAATGAGGCGTGGTGTCTTGAGTGGATCAGAGGCCTGCTTGCGGTGGAGCCCCGGGAGGACTCCTTCCCCTGTACTGGCCTGGAGCCCCCAGGGTTGCTGAGCCTCAGAGCCAGCCGGGAAAGCAGCTGGGGGAGGGGAGGTCAGGGGTCAGGCCATGTCTGCCGTCTACTAACGTCCTGGGAAAATGCAGCAGGTCCGTTTCCTCCCTGGGCCTCAGTTTACCCTCTCCAAGCAAGGCTGGGACTAGGAGGAGGCGAGCAGGATGCCCAGGGTGCGGTGTTCAAGGCCGTGCTCACTCTCAGGGGTGTGCAAGTGCAGGGGGGCACCTGGCTTCTTGCTCGCCAGGCACCCCTGCTCCAGCAGTGGCCCCGTGTCTCCCCTCTCTAAGGTTTTGTGGGCGGTCACGACCCCCCCTCCACAGACCAAAGGGGCAGCATTTGTCTCAGGCCCCTTTCCCAATCACAGCACCTTCTCAGCAGTACAGACCCCTGGCTCCCACCCCGAGGTCTGGGCATCTGCGCAGCCAACCAGCCCCTGTGTGTCCCGGCTGGAGAGCCTGGTTCAAGGCCGCAGATGGTGTGAGTGGAGCTCGACTCAGTCCCCCGCATCTCCAGGCAGACACAGAAAGTGGGAGTGAACCCCCAGCCCTGGGCGGAACTCCTGGGATCTGCAGGGAGTGAGGCCCAGCAGCTCCTCCGGGCGTGTGGCACGAGCTGCATTGTAGACAGCCGACCGTGAGCTCCGGCCCCACGGCCTGGCCCTGTGCTCAGAGCCCCTGCTTGCCTCTGCAGGACGCCTGGAGTGACCAGAAGGGGTGGATCCACCTGGATGCCCAGCAGGATTACCAGCTGCTGCGGGCACAGAGGACCCCAGAAGGCCTGTCCCTCCTCTTCAAGAGGCCCTTTGGCACCTGTGACCCCAAGGATTACCTCATCGAGGTGGGTGGTAGCCCCACGTACCTAGAAGATCGTGGGAGGCGTGGACCACTCACTCCTCCTGGAGCTGTGTCCCCGAGGGGGGATCCCAAAGGCAGCCAGGCGGGGACATGGCAGCCTGGGAGAGGCCAGCTCTGCTGTCAGCCTCTGCTCCCTCCAGGAAGTGCTCCTGGTTGGCACAGAGCCGACAGGTTTCTAGATGCGGGGCCTGCCTTGAAGCCTCTCGGATTGGATTGGAGGGGTCTTGGCTCCCCTCCTGGTGCATCTTCAGGTGGGATTCTGGAAAGAGCCCAGGAGCCCTGGATCCCCAGCCTGGCCCTGTTGCCAACTTCCTATGAGGCTCTGGGCAGGTCCCTTCCTCCTTGGGGCCTCAGTTTACCCGTCTATAAAGTGAAGAAGGGAGCCGGATGACCTGTTAGGCCCGACTGGCTCTGTCTAGGAGTTCACGGCCACCACAGATCCAAACCATGGGCTCCAAGCCCTCCAGAGAGGGAGAAACAACCCGCCCTGAGCTCAAGGACAAAGTCCTTCTAGCTTCCTAGCCGCTTCAACCGACATCAGTCCTCTGGCGTAATCTTTCCGGCACGGCAGCAACATGGCTGGTGGGGAGCCGGAGGGGGAACCAGGCCCGAGAGGGGAAGGACTTGTCCAGGGGCTCATGGCACGGTGGGGGCACAGCTGGTACCAGGAGAGGTATCCTTCCAACAGGTCCTCGGCGTCCCACCTTCCCTAAGGACGAGGCCAGGGCAGGGCGTGGGGGAGGCTCCCCTCTGGAGCCCAGAGATGCCCTCTGCGGAGGACAGCTCGCGGGCTCCCAGGTTTATGTGGCCAGAAACTCAGAGAGCAAGTTAGCTGCCCACCACAAATACGAACACACAGGGACGGCCGCCAGGGCCCGGAGACCATGTAAGGCATTCACAGAGCCGCATCCTAAACGTGGATGCAGGTTTCCATTCGCGGCCACGCCTGGGAAAGCCAACTCCAGCCCCCTGTCCCCACTGAGTCTGTCTGTGACCTCCAGCTCGGCACTGACAGAGCTTTCCAGGTCTGCGTTGTCCAACACCCACGGGACTGGTGGCGGCCGTGTCGGACAGCACAGCTCTGCCAGGTCGTACAACTGTCGAGAAACCTCAGTTTGATTTTTTTTTCACTTCATAGGAGGGTTGACTCCTCAGGCTGGGCTGTTGACTGCAGCAGAGGAGATGCCCCACACCTTGTCCCCAGTGCCCCTGGGGGTGGTGGGGGGAACAACTGTCACAGGTGGGCCAGCCGGCCCTGGCTCAGAGTGGAGCCCAGCACTCAGGAGTTGAGTGGATGCTAAGTGAATGGCGATGGGACGTATTTAGAAAGAAATGCATTTGATGCCCGGTGCAAACGGCAGCCTGGGTCCACGGGGAGCCTCAAGACCCCTTCCTCCACAGAGATGAGGAACAGCGTGTCAGCTGCCGGGCTAGGTGGGTGGGGACCTGGCAGCCTCCCCGGTTGTCAAGGAGCCCAGCTCTGGGGGTCTGAGTGGGTGAGAGACCCGGCCCTGTCTCCGCCGCAGGACGGCACCGTCCACTTGGTGTACGGGATCCTGGAGGAGCCGTTCTGGTCGCTGGAGGCCATCAACACCTCGGCCCTGCACACGGGGCTGCAGAGGGTGCAGCTGCTGAAGCCCAACGTCTCCGTCCCTGCCCTGCCCGCGGACATGCGCACCATGGAGGTCCGTGCCCCAGACGTCCTGGTCCCCGGCCAGGAGACCACCTATTGGTGCTACATTACTGAGCTTCCCGACGGCTTCCCCCGGCACCATATCGTCATGGTACGTGGGAGTCCAGCCCGGCCCTCCTCCAGCTCTGCTTTCCACCTGGGGTCCCGGAGGCCTGTGGAGAGCTGCCCCATCCGCAGAGCCGTTCGGGGTCCCAGGGTCCCGGTTGAGCCAGAACCCTGGGCTCAGCCTGAACTTCCTGCAGCCACACACACGCTCTGACCCCTCGCCCGGCTCACTCCTCACCCTCCCGGGGGCTCCATGCCCCAGCTTCCCAGCCTGGGACGAAGGCAACTGATGTCTTGATTTCTGTATGTTCCCCTGGCCTGGAAGGGCTGTCTGTCTGGCCACCTTCCCCTTCATGAAAAAGCAGCTCAACTCAGAACTCAGTTGCTCTAAACACTCATTGGAGCTCAACAGTAACAACATAGCTGTTGAATGTTCACTATTGGCCTGGCCCTGGGGGAAGGCAAGGTGGAGTGCCCACTCCAGCTCCACAACAGTCTGCACGCAGTGCTAAGTATCCTCATCTCTGTTTCCGGTAGAGGACGTGCAGCCCAGAGAGGTTGTGTGAGTGCCCAAAGTCACACAGCAGGAAGTGGCCAGACTGACTCACAGCTATGCGTGGTCCCCCAGCTCAGGTTCAGCCTTAGGCAGCCTCCATCTCCTGGTCCATCCACTGCCACGTCCGCATGAGGACAGCTGCCTTCCTGTCCTCACCTTATCAGGGAATGACTTGCCTGGGTCCCCCTTTCCTTTGCCCTGGAGGTCGTCATGGGCTTCAGGCACACTCTGTCGGGTTCCGGGTTGGTGGCTCCACCCTTGGAGCCCTGAGCCCCAGGAGCACGCCTGGAAATGACCCCGCAGAATGGGTGAGCAGAGGTCCACGGAGGGGAGCTGCTGGGCCAGAGCCCCCGGGGGGCATGATCGGGCCGGCGGGCGGGTGTCCACTGCCCCAGGCTCACTGGTGCTGCCACCCGCAGTATGAGCCCATTGTCACCGAGGGCAACGAGGCCCTGGTGCACCACATGGAGGTCTTCCAGTGCGCCACCGAGTTCGAGAGCTTCCCCCAGTTCAACGGACCCTGCGACTCCAAGATGAAGCCCAGCCGCCTCAACTACTGCCGCCACGTGCTGGCCGCCTGGGCCCTGGGCGCCAAGGTGCGTCCCGCCCGCCTCTCCCGGGCCTCTGCCGGGGGCTGGGCCCATTCCTCTGTGTCCCCCACTTCTCTGGTTGAGAGGCCCCAGCAGGGGGCTCCGGGGAGATGCTTGTGGGGCTGAGCCCCAAGTAACCCCACACCTGGGTGTCACCTGCCTGCCACCTCTTCTGATCCATGAGGGTTTCGTCCGGCCTTTGTCACTTTTCCATAAAAATGCAGAAGCCCCACGAGCTCACGGACCTCATGGCTATTGACCTCCCTTCCCTGCTGGACGTGGGTTTGGGCACTGGGCGGCCCTGGGGTGGGCACTGGGGCTGCATCCGGGGCTTTTCATCGGCTTCCTCCACCCATCCAGAGGAGGGCCAGGGGGGCTGTGCCAGGGGCTTGGGCAGTGGGCTCCCCTAGGGGACACCAGCTCCCCCCACTCCCTGATCCCAAGTCTAATAGGGACATCCGTGTGGATTGGTGATGAGCTGCCCGTCAGTGGGAGAGCATCATTTTGATCCAGCTGCCCTTGCCAGCACCACCCCTTGCAACTCAGGCCCCACAGTCGGCGGGGTCTTTTCTCCGACTCCCGTCTGGGGCGCCCCTGGGGATGCACCAGTCTGTCTGCCTGGGCTCGGTGCCGATGCCTGCCCCTTCCTTCCCCCGAACCCCGCAGGCCTTTTACTACCCAGAGGAAGCTGGCCTTGCTTTCGGGGGTGCCGGGTCCTCCAGATTCCTCCGCCTGGAAGTTCACTACCACAACCCACTGAAGATAGAAGGTAGGCGGATCCCAGGGGTCTCTGCCCGGCCTCTGTCCTCCCCTCGGAAGCCCTTACACTCGGCCACGTCGAGTCGGGAAGATAACTGGGGCGTCTGTTCCGCACGGGGCCCCACTCCCCAGAGTCTCCCGCCTTGTTCCACAACCCCGCGGCACAGGTCCCTCTCATGTCTCCTTCGTTCTGCTTTTCTGTGACGGCGGGGGCGCCCTGGGCTGGCTTGTCGCTGCACCCCCAGATGGTGGGGCTCGGCACCTTCACACGGCTTCCGCGTGAACCCCCACCGCCGCCACCACTGTGCTGTCCCAGGAGCCCCCCAGGAAAGGCAGGCGGAGGCGGCTGGCATGCCCATGTGGCAGATGACAAAGTGAAGGCCCAGTGGTGGAGGGACCGTGAGGGGCCGTAAGGGGAGCAGGAGGAGCCAGGGGTCTGGGCCTGGGTGTCTCCAGGGCCTCGGTCTCACAGCCCTGCAATGGCTGAGCCCACCCAAGACCCAGGCAAGGCTTGTCTGACTCCACAGCGTGAAGAATCTCCTAGACAGTGGACCCGTCTGTAAACGACCCCCGCTTCTTGCGCTCTATCCTCGCTTTGTGGCACCAGCCAGAGCAGAAGGATGGCGTCAGGGCGTGTGGACAAGTGGTTCAGGGCAAGGGGGCCTCAGGCCCGAGCAGGGTCCCATGCGCGTTTCCCCTGGAAGTGACTTCTCTGAGGCTGCTCAGACCAGTAGCCGCCCCTCCCGGTCGGGCTAACCCGCCAGCACCCATGTGTGTGATGACGCTGCCCTCCCCAGAGCAGGCTGGGCGGGACAGGGCACCTGGCAGGATGGCAGCACGGCAGGATGCAGGCTATTATGGAGCCAGCGTGGTCCCTGCCCAGAACCCACCCTGGTGGCCTGACCGTTGGCATGCACTGCCCCAGGACTGGGCAGGGGAAGGGAAGAGCCCTGGCTTGGCTGCGGCGTTTCTGGCTGTGAGCTTCCCTCCCACGCCTCCGAGCACTTGACACCAGAGCACATGCCTGCTGTGAGTGTGAGCCTGATGGGCTTTCCCACTCACGGGTTTCGTGTCAGGGTGGGCTCCTGGGCCTCTCTAACCAACCCCCCCAGCGGCACAGCGTGCCGCCTGGAAAGGCCTCTGGGGCGTGTGTTTGAGCCTCCTGTTTTCCCCGCACGGTAAGGATGGCCTAAGAAATGCAGGCCCAGGGTCTTCGCTCCTCAGTGCATGTTGAAGGACACTGTGAGAGACGTTGCTCCAGGTGCCGAGGGAGACCTCTAGATGAGCACGGCACACCCACGCCCTCCGAGAACCGCTGGGAGGGAGAGAAGTCATGGGCTTGGGTGTGCACCTGCACGTGCACGTACACACGCACATCCACACACACACAGGCGGGAAGGAGCCAGGGCAGGAGGGAGACACAAGCAACGTGCAGGAAGGGATAAAGGGGAGTCCCTGTGCCTGGGTGGCTTCATGGCGGCCTTGGCCCTGGGCCTGGGAGGACGAGAATTTTCAGCGTAAGCTGCCAGGTGCCGAATTCCAGATCGAGGGAACAGTCTGTGCGGAGACAAGGAGGTGGTAAATGGAGAGTGTGTCCCGGGAACGCAGGTGGTCCAGACTGGCTGCAGTGTAGGGGATGGGAAAGCCAGCTGGGGGCAGATAGTGGGGGCTGCTGGATCACCCTGTGCCTGAAGGTGGACAACCAGAGTCGGTCTTTAGGATGGCAATGCCAGTTGATATGGTATCAGAAACTGAAAATATTTCCCTCTGTCTATTGCACCAGCATCTTCCACCATATATAGCCACGTAGCCTGTTTCTTCTCACTCTCTAAAAAAAAAAAAATGACATAGTTTTGTGTAAGTGAGGGGCAGAAAGAGCCTGAGGTAAGAACATCAGCTCCAGGCTGGGTGCCACCCCATCCCTCCCTCGCTGGGTGACCCTAGGTGGGTGACCATGCCCCCTGCTGTGTTGGCTCACCTCCCGCAGCTGTTCCGAGGCTGGGAAAGCTCACGCACGTAACGCTGCCAACCCAACGTGGGCTGCTGGCGACTTCCTCCTGCCGGCATAACTAATACTTTCTGCCACCGTTGGCATTATCTACAGCGTGCACAGAGGAAGGCATAAGTCAGCTGGGGCCTTAGCATGATACAGGATTTATTGCTCATTTAAAACCTGAAAGCAAATGGATTTTTGAAAACTCCTTAAGCGTCAGGGAAGTCTGTCTCTTCCTGATGACCTGGTCGTACTTATGGATCTTTTGCCAAATGTAAGGACGCTCCTGTCACTTCACAAATCTGGAGATGGACCGCTTTCTATAAATATCAAAATTCCACAATTATTTCATTATTTAATCACCATCTAGATTTTAACCAATTGCATGTCCCTTTTTATTACTATCCTCTGATGTAATCGGCCCAGAGACGCAGAGCTGGGTTTGGACGGCGCAGGGGGAGCACAGAGTAGGGAGGGAGGGAGGGAGAGGCTGGGGCATTTTTGGCTCCACCCGGGAGTAGAGGAGCAGGGAGACCCCTAACGATGCCCTGGGCTCCCCAGACCCACGACCTCGGCCAGGGTCTCCCGCTCAGGCCTGGTTCCTCGTCTGTAAGTTGGAGAGGACAAGTCTTCAGTTACACGGGCTCTCCGTCCGTCTCCAGCTCGACTGCACGTCCCCAGGGGTCAAGCTGTGTCCAGCCCCCTCGCCTCTCCTGTGGGGCAGCCAGGTGCTCTGCCCTGAAGTGCTCAGGGCCTCGTCACTGACTGATTCCAGGAAGGAGGGCAGGTGGGGGCTCCTGAAGGTCACACGGTGGTGCGGCTCTGCCTGTGGGTGCCAGCATCCCCCAACCTGTGACCATCAGCTTTGAGTGGCCGCTGGGAGGCCTGCCCAGGGAGCTTCGGGCCTCTCCAATCAGCCAACCACCAGAAGAACCGGCAGGTGTGGCTGGACCGTGAGAGGCAGGAGTACTGAAGTCTCATATGGAAGAGGCCCTTGACTTTGAGCCCAGAGAGGCCCAGAAAGGGACAGTGACCTGGCCAAGAGCACACAGCACAGTGTTGACCAAGCGGGACCACAGGCTGTCCTGCAGCTGGTTTTCAGCTTGGACCGCTTTGACCAAGGAGGAAGAACATGGGAGCGCTTGCAAAGCCATCGCGGCCTCTACAGCTTCCCAGGTCTACTGCGGGCATCTCGCCCCCACCTGATTCCACAGCAGGTTTTAGTTGCCTGCCTTTATCAAATCTTCCCCAGCAGGCAACTCAGTTTTCCTAGAAACAGCGGCTCTTTCTTTCCATGGGGGTCTTTCACGGTATGCAGTAACTGATCCTTGCACTGCACCTGCCTGGCGTGAACAGGTGCGGGGACAAAAGCTCTCGGCACACACTGCAGGTGGGAGCAGGTGTGGGGTGATGGGCACCGCCTCCTGGCTGAGGGCGGCTGGGGGTCAGTCTGAGCGGGGCGGGCGGTTGAGGGGCTGGTGCTCAGCCGAGAGGGCCGCCACTCACCTCCGTCCCACCTTCCGCAGGCCGCCGCGACTCCTCGGGCATCCGCCTGTACTACACAGCCACGCTGCGTCGCTTTGACGCAGGCATCATGGAGCTGGGCCTGGTGTACACGCCCGTGATGGCCATCCCCCCGCAGGAGACGGCCTTCGTCCTCACAGGCTACTGCACCGACAAGTGCACCCAGCTGGTGAGTGGGGCTGGGCTAGGCTGGCCCTGTCTGGTTCCCGCTGAGGCCCTGCAGGCGGTGGCCAAGGGAGGAGGGCATCACTGGCTTTGGTTCCCCCATCCTGCAGCTTCATGAGGCTCCACCCACAACCCCGTGCAAAGAAGCCTTCCCGCAGGGCGGTGTGGCCCCTGCGCCGCCTGCTCTAGCTGTAACCATGGCTCCCACTCAGTCCACACCGCACGCCAGCACCTCCACACGCTGCCTTTTCAAATAGCCTTTCACTCTGCGACTACGAGGGACACGCATTCACCCCTAAAAACGCGGGCAGTGCAGCTCAAGATAAAGCCCCTTGGCCACAGTGCTCTCCCCCAGAGAGCCGGTCATTGGCTCTTTCATGTCCTTCCAGACTTCTATACATTTCTACACGCCCTTCCGCGTGATGGAAAGACAGAGTTTTGTTTTGTGTTTGAAAACAAATTGGGTAGCACAGATTTGTCCTGCACCTTGCCTTTTGACTGCTGCCGGGCCTCGCACACTGTGGTTTTCAGTGTGGACTTCTCCCGGGCCGGACCCGGTGGGGCTAGCGAAGTGCCTGGGACACAAAATACTAGCGAGCACGGGTTCTCGGGGCCATGCCAGGCCCCGGGGAGTGCAAGCCAGCGCAGAGTCTCGGAGCAAACAGTGGGGACCCAGCTTCCAGAGGAGTGGAAGCGACCCCAAAATTCTGCACCCTCGGTGCCCACTTGCCTCATCCAGTTGGGCCTGTGTTGAACTGTCCCCCTGTCAGCAGTGTCCAGGCTGCTGTCAGCTTCTCACCAATGGGAAGAAGGCTGCAGGGAGACCCTGGTGCACACAGAAAACGTCTTACCAGGTAGATCTCTAGCAGTGAAATCGCTGTGCACGGGGCACCCGAGCTTCACTTTGAATGAATCTGAATCTCCCACACTGCCTCCAGAAAGCCCAGCCCCGTCCTTCCTCCACATGGGCCGGAGGATGCCCCGTCCTTAGACTTCCCGGCCTGCCAGGGTATCAATATTTGAAGTATTTTCTCGGTCACTTGGGAAGAAAACTTTCACTGTGGTCGGTTTGAATTTCCCCGATGATTCGTGGAGCTCGAGGATCTTTCCACCTGTCTTTGTTTTTTCCTGGGAATGTCTGCCCGCGACCTTGGTCCGGTGTTTCCAGGGGGTTGGTCGTTGGTCTTCCCGTTGGTGTCCGGGAGCTCACTGCCATCCTGGCACAGCCGGCTGTGAAGGTCCCCAACGCTTCCTCGCCTCCCCATCCTTGCTTCTCACAAGGACCTGCAAGCACGGGTAACTTGCCAGATGAGGAGACCAAGGCTGCTGGGGCCACGGTGCAGCGGTAGCGGGAGGGTCCGACCCAGGCCTGTCTGACTCCTAACGCTGCAGGATGCGGGATGCGGGCTACGGCGGGTTTGCCTCTCCCACGAGTGGATTCACTGGGATTCATTCTTCACGCGGCTCCCGAGCTTCAGTCCTCCACCATCAGGCAAGCACAGTGTCCTCCAGCTGCAGAGGGACAGAGCCATCAGCTGGCCAGGGCACGTGTGCTCCGGCAGAGGAGCAGCTCCTCGTGTCCGAGACCAGAGCCGCGAGATCGTCACCACAGTCAGCAGCTGGCACTCTCTCCCGCGTCCCCAGAGCTTGCAAAGTCATGCGAAAGGCTCCCTGGCCTCAGCAGGGGCTGGGGAGTCACCTCCTTGGGGCTCCCCGGGAAAGAGTGACGCCAGACCAAGCAGCACATGCTGCCCCATTGCCAGGACCCAGGCCACTTTGACCTCTTACCTTGAGAACGCCTCTCACCGGCCTGGAGGTCAGCCTTGCCTTGTCTGCCAGAGTCTCCAAACGCATCAGAGCCAGGAAATGAGAAGATCTCCATTTGCTCTTCCTGCCCTTCAAACAGTGCTTTCTTTTTGAAAATCCCACTTACGTGGAACACTCATTGAAGGGACTCCCAGGGAGGTCCATCTTACATCTCCATGAGCAGATCACCGAAGGGCATGAGTTCTGCAGTCAAAGGTCTGGCGTGGTCCAGATACCCTTGTCCAAACAGAGACACCAAGAAAAAGCATCACATCTTGGACTGTAGGCCGCAGGATGGCACATCCCCCTCCACCCGTTGGACACCCGCATCTCCGGGCCAGTGGTCAGCCTCTGGGGGCCAGAGGGGCAAGACCCAGGGCCCCACGGGTCAGCAGGCCTGGCCTCAACTGTCACAAATGTGGCCAATAAGTTTTCCCAGTCCTCAAGGGGCCCAAAGCGATCAATCACGACGAGGGTAGGGACAGTAGGTGGTGGAGAAAAGGCGAAGTCAGATGACTTGCAGCAAGCACAGCCGTCTGGGGTCACTCAGCGATGGGCGAGGGGCAGAGAGTCCCTGAGCTGCCAGCAGAGTGGAGAAAGCGGAGCAGAGCAGGTGGCACGTGGTCAGGGAGATGACGAGGCGTGAAGGAAGCGCTTGAAGGGTCTAATCCGTCTTAGGAAATGTCCTCTCTAAACAGAGTTAACGTCAAGGTGGGAAAACGTCCACTGTCTGGGAAATTCCCTCACGCCTGATGGTGCAGGGAGGGCCGGCTTGTCTCTCCTGTGCTGCCGCCCGACAGCTTCTGGGGACAGAGCTGCGGCTGTAATGCAAGGTGACGGTGACAGCAGGAGAGGGCCGCCTGGGCTGTGCCGGTGAGGCAGGGGTGGCCGCCGGGCAGCTGAAGGGCCTGCTGGTGCCAGAGGGTGGCAGGCGCTGGACAGGACGGCCACACACTGTTGTCATTCGTTGTCCACCGGATGTGGGCCTGCAGCACGAGGAGGCCATGCTGCCCTCCCCTTGGCCTCCCCCTGCCCACGGGGGGCTCACTTTAAAGTCTGTTGAATAAACGTATCTGCCTTCGGGGGTCAGGAGAGGACCAGAGGGACGCCGTCTGCCCCCGAATGAGCCCCAGCTGCCACTTGGGTAGACCTGAGCAACATCTCTTTTATTCAACGTGGGGTATAACTGATCAGGGAGAAAGACGAGGCCCCAGCGACATAGACGTTCTAGGGAGGCAGACTCAGAGTCTCTGTTCTGTGGCCCGTGGTCGGCACAGGAACCGGCAGAAGGGCAGCCATCAGGGTCGCCCATGTGGCCAGCCCTGACCCTGGCCCCTGTTCCACAGGCCCTGCCTCCCTCGGGGATCCACATCTTCGCCTCTCAGCTCCACACGCACCTGACGGGGAGGAAGGTGGTCACCGTGCTGGCCCGGGACGGCCGAGAGAGGGAAGTTGTGAACAGGGACGACCACTACAGCCCTCACTTCCAGGTAGGGACCCGCCCTGCACTCAGGTTGGGCCTGGTTGACCTGCTCTCTCCCGATGACCATAGAAACACCCCATTCCGGGCTTCCTTCTTCCGGGCCAGGCCCCAACGTGTGATGAGCGCCCCGCAGCCGGCCTGCTCCCTCTTGGGGATCAGATCTAAGGGTGGGGCTCTGGGGATGGATTCTGGCGTGTGGCCCATTAGGGGATTTGGGGCCCAGTCAGCCCGATGGTAACATCCGTCTTGGGTAACCACCTTCTTGTTCTAACCCCTGCCTGGCCAGAGGCCAGACGTGCAAGTCCTGGCTCCCCGAGAGGGGTTGTGACCAATGTCCACCCCCAGGGGCTTGTGGGGAAGGCGGCTGGGGGTTGGGTGCTTCTTGATATCTCCCCTTTTCCCTCTGCTCTGCCCACCCCAGGAGATCCGCATGTTGAAGAAGGTCGTGTCTGTCCACCCGGTGAGTGCCCAGTTAGGGACAGAAGGCTGGGGGGCTGTCCCCAGAGGGGAGAGACAGACAGCGATGGGGGAGGGCAGAAGTAACGTGGAGGTCTTTCAGAACCACGTCCACGTGGGGCAGGGGCCAGGGCTGTCCCGTGGTGAGACTCACCAGGACTTCCCAGACAGGCCTGGAGGACGAGGCTAGAGAGCTCTCAGGGTGACACACGTCCTCTGCTTGATCAGCCGCCCACACCCGCCGAGAGCTTTAGCGGGAGACGAGGGTGTGGAGGTCCCTGGTGGGGCTGCCGATGGTGCAGAAGGGGAGTCCCAGGCCAGGTGGGGCTTACCCAAGTTCACCTTCTGGCTGGGACGCCACCAATCGGCCCACACACCTGTGGGGGGCCAGGGACCACTGCAGGGTCCCTCAGAATTGAGTTGATGACTAAGTGCCATGGTGTGTGCCGTGGCTCGGTCCCACGGGGAGACAGGCCTGGCGTACCTGTTCTCCCCAGGTGGGCAGGTGCTGAGGGGTGACTGTGGCTTGGCTCCCCAGGGGGATGTGCTCATCACTTCCTGCACGTACAACACGGAAGACAGGAAGCTGGCCACCGTGGTAAGTCACCCTGAGCTCTCCCTGCCGCCTGCCAGGGAGCACGTGCGGCCTGGGTGTCCATCTGGGGACTTTTGACACTTTCTCGACGACACGTCTTAACTCCCCCGCTAGAGCGTAGGGTGCCGGAGGGCGGGGGGTGCCCTCCCGCATTCACTGCACAGGCCGGCGCTTCTCGGGGTGGGCTCCCTGGAGCAGCAGCATCGGCATCCCCTGGGGACTTGGTAGAAATTCAGACTCACAGGCTCCAGGCTGAGCTGGAATGTGGGTGGTGACACCTGGCTCCTGCCGGAGTTGGAGAGCCACTGCAGTAAACCCGTGTCAGCGCCTGTGGGCTGATGCTGGGAGAAGGGCCTGAGCTGACGGGACCCCCTGGAGCTCCGTCAGCCAGGGAGACGGCCTGCCACACCTGTGCAGGCGACAAGCACAGTCACAAGGAAAACTAAAAACCAGGTGGAGGTAGGGGTGGTGGAAGGCGAGCGAGCGCTCCGAGTCGGGGGGCGGCAGGAAAGCCCAGAGGACAGAGACCCTCACCAGACCTCGGGGAACAAACCTGCAGCCGCCTTTCTAACCAACTGTTGACCAGCCAAAATACAGGGGCTACAGAAACATTCATTTTTATGCTGTTCCCTTCTGGGCTTCATCAACGACAATTCTGTGTAAATGTCCGGTTGGTCCTGCTCTGCAGGGAAGTGACACAGATTCATTTGGGCTGGACTGCGGACCACCCGGGGAGGAGGGTCCATCCAGGAGAGACTCTGTTTTCAAGGCTAGTTGTACAGGCACCAAGAGATGCTGGTCACACAACATACCATCCAGCTGGGCTGCTTCTAAGAGTGAGAAGCGATGCTGTTCATGACTGTGCCTGATCAACAGGCACAGACCACACCTGTCCTGGCAAACTGACCTCCCCGCTAATAGACCCTTGCTGGCCGCCTCATTGATCACTACGGCTCCCAGTAACCAGCCTGGGAATCAGGAATTCTGAGTGGACTGGAGTTGGGGTTACACCCCAGCCTGCCTGCCTCCCCCCAGGACTCCAGTCTGTGGCACAGCTCTGTGTTTTCATTGAACTGAAGTTTATCAAATTCCTGTTTGCAGTCTCATTTAGGCTGTTTCCAACAGCTTTATTGAGAGAGAATTCACATACCATACGATTCACCCAATTAAAGTGTGCGATTCAAGGACTTTTAGTATATTCCCAGATCCAGTCCCCCATCACAGGTCCATATCAGAGCGTTTTGGCACTCCAAAAGAGCCCGTCCCCCCTCCACCTCCCCGCTCCCCACAGCCCTAAGCAGCCGCTGATCTACTTTCTGTCCCTGTGGATTTACCTCCTCTGGACTTTCAGATAAATGGAATTATATAACCTGTGACTTTTTGTGACCGGCTTCCTTCACTCAGCATCATGTTCCCGAGGTTCATCCGTGTTGTAGCACGTGTCAGTGTTTCATTCCTTTTTATGGCTGAGGCACTCCAGTGTGTGGATGGACCACGCTTGTTTATCCATCATCTGTTGACGGACATTTGAGTTGTTTCCACCTCTCATAGCTTTCACACCAGTCTCCAAGGTAGGAATCTTTGTCTGTATTTTCACAGGTGAGAAACTGAGGCTCAGAGAGGGAAGACACTTCCCGGAGGTCACACAGCTGATCACTAATGGGCTGAGCTGGGATCTAACCCAGGAACGTGTGCCTGCAAAGCTCTTGCCACATGCTTCGTCCCTCCCTCTGGATTTGGGGTGACAGCTGCTCAGGGTCCATGATCATAAACTCGGGGGACAGGAGAGCTTTGCAGGCATGCAGCACCCTCTTTATGGAATCTCCAGGAGGTGCTCAGGACAGAATAACACCAGCCGCTACTGCGGAACGCCTCCTCCACGTGGAGGGCTCGGCGTTGTACTAATAACTCACCCTGTCCACGCTCAGGGCCCCTCTAAGCCTCGCCAGCACCCCATGCAGCAGGTGCTGCCAGGAAACAGTGAGGAGGGACAGCCAAAGGCACCCACTAGCAGGGAGCAGGGCTGGTCCCGGTGATGTGGGCTCAGTGAGTCGAGGAGTCGAAAGAAAGATTTCTTGGCCTCCCAAGGTCTGGCAGTAGTGCTGTTTTATTCAGAGACTAGTATGGAATAGCATGGGGACAGGACCCATGGGCAGTAAGAGCCGCAGGCATGGGTTGAGGGTAGGGCTAAATTTAAGGCATAGGTACGAGAGTTATCTCTTTACAAGACAAAGGAAAGATTATGTAAAAAAGTCAGTAAAATGTTATCAGTGAAGGTGGGGTCTGGTTATTGGATGGTCCTATAACTTTAGATAAGAATCAGATGGGATTAAGTCTGGATGTCCTTGCCTTCCCCATTAAGAGTTTCTAGAGATAAGGTCATCCTCCCCTCTTGCTGGTGCAGAGAGGGAGACACCCCCACAGATGGAGACCTCTCTTACAAATGGAAATGTCTCTTAACAAAGGACAAGTAAATTCCACTTTTCAGACCCTCTTTCCTGTCTGCAGTTTTCAAAAGTAACCAGCCCCAAATAATCCTCATCACCGGGGCCAACCCCACATGTGCTGCCTCCCGGCAGAGAGCTCCTTGTGCAGTCAGTGAGGCTCCAGGCAGGACCACAGCATCTCCCCATTCTGCAGGAGAGGCCACTGGGGCCAAGGGGCGGGGAGGGACTTGCTGGACATCCCATCAGCGAACAGCGAAGGGGAGCCCCCCTGGGCTGACCCCCACCTATTGCTACTTCTGTGAAGGCCAGGCCTGGTGAGCACCCCTGACACCTCAGACGCCCCACCCCACGGAGGCCCCCAGGCCGACCTGTGCCCTCCCCTCCCAGGGGCTACCTCACCACGCCAGCCAGCCAGCCAGCCAGCCAGGGTCAAGGAGGAGGGCAGCTGGCAGCTCCCAACGGGCAGATGGAGCTTCCCAGCTCTGACCACCCCGCCCTGCGGATCCATCCAGAGACAAGGGCCTTTGAAATGCGACTCCTGTCCCAGGCGAGGACAAAGGGAGGGCTTCCGGGGGAGCAGAGCCTACTCAGGGCAGGACTCTCTTTTGAAGTCTGAGATGCGGAGGGTAGAAAACACTGGAATTCCCTCTCGATGGAGGCGACCTCCCCTCCGAGGCCAGGAGAGGACAAGTGACAAAAGCTGCAGCAGGTCCCCTGGGGCCTTGGGAAGTGAGGGAACAATACAGGTGAAGCCCCACCCAGAGGGTGCCAGACAGATCTGCTCACAGGGAATTTCCTTTTTCCATCTACACCGGGAGAGGGACTGTGCTGAGCCTTGGCTGGGCTTTTTACGGTCCTTCTGTTCTGCCAGGAAGTAGCAAATGCCTTTCTTCCCTCAAACATTCCCCCCAGCCAAATAAACCCCCAGACCCACCTCACAAGGAGCCGGGAGCTGGAGGCCAGACAGAGGTCAGCCTGAGCTGCACCCCTGCACCCCACCCCGCCCCAGCCCTGCCCCGCAGGCCCTGCGCTGGCTGTTCCCTCCCCAGCTCTGCTTTCTCCAGCCCAGCTCCTCCATACCTCCAGAGTTCCTCTCCCCCTCCCCCTTCCTTCTCCCCCTCTGCCTTCTCCTCCTTCTCCCCCTCCCCCTTCCTTCTCCCCCTCTCCCTCCTCTTTCTCCTTCCCCCTCCCCTCCTCCTTCTCCCCCTCCCCCTCCCTCCTCCTCCTTCTCCTCTCCCTTCTCCTCCCCCTCCCCTCCTTCATCTCCCACCTCCTCCTCCTCCTCCCCCTCTCCTCTCCTTCTCCTCCTCCCCCCCTACATTTCCCCCTGCTCCTCCTCCCCCCCGCCATCTCCCCCTCCCCCTCCCTCCTCCCCCTCCCTCCTCTTTCTTCTTCCCCCTCCTCCTCCTACGCCCCTCCTACATTCCCCCTCCCCCTCTCCTCCTCCTCCCCTCCCCTCCTTCATCTCCCTCCCCCTCCCCTCCTCCTTCTCCCCTCCCTCCTCCCCCTCCCTCCTCTTTCTTCTTCCCCCTCCCCTCCCCTCCTCCTCTCCTCTCCCTCCTCCCCCTCCTCCTCTTTCTTCTTCCCCTCCCCTCCCTCCCCCTCCCCCCCCCCCCCTCCCCTCCTCCTCTTTCTTCTTCCCCCCCCCTCCTCCTCCTACACCCCCTCCTACATTCCCCCTCCCCCTCTCCTCCTCCTCCCCTCCCCCTCCTTCATCTCCCTCTCCCCTCCCCTCCTCCTTCTCCCCCTCCCCCTCCTCCTCACCCTCCTCCCCAGCTCCTCTACCTCCTCCTCCGGGCTCAGCAAGCAGGGAGCCAGCCAGGGGCTTACAGTGGACGAGGACTTGGAGAGCCCTGCTCTGCCTGCTCCCACACCATGACAGAGCTACAGGGCTGCCCTGGGAGACTTCTGTCACTGCCTCTGGCCACCGTCTCCCCTTCTGGAGCCCCTGCTCCTCTCAGAGCCTAGTTCCAGGAATGGCAGGTGGACGGTGCCAGGTCTGCAGCTCTCCGTCTCCAGGCCCCGCTGGAGGTGGAGGGGACAGGTCTGGAGGCTGCGTCTGCTCAGGCCTTGCCATTCACCCTCTCTGGGCCTTGTTTGTCTGTCCGTAAAGTGGGCCCGCTGATGCCCCGGCCGCTCACCCCCTCGTACTTCTCTTCCTCACACTCGTCACCACCGGAGCTGAATTTGCCACTGACTCTGTCATCTGTCTCTGCTGTCAAGGGTGGGACTTCCAAGGAGGCAGGGACCTGGCTCCCTTGGAGCAGTGCCGGCACCATGCAATGAGTGAACGAATGAATAAACGAATGCAGGGAACAATGCTGCGAACCAACCACAGCGTTCGGGCACGAAGCGGGGCACTGACGGCTCTTCTTGGTCTTGCAGGGCGGCTTCGGCATCCTGGAGGAGATGTGCGTCAACTACGTGCACTACTACCCACAGACACAGCTTGAGCTCTGCAAGAGCGCTGTGGACCCTGGCTTCCTGCAGAAGTATTTCCACTTCGTGAACAGGTGCCGGCACCACAGGGAGCGGGCTGGCCTGTGCTCTCTGACCCCGGGCATGGCAGGGCGGCCCCAACACAGAAACCCCTGGGCCCTGGGAGGCAGTGGGTGGCAGTGAGGAAGCCAAGCTAAGTTCTCAGAGCAGGGTGAGCGCGGATGTAGCGTCTGTACCTCCATGCCCCCTTGGAGTGCCTGTGGCAGGCGTCACTAATGGATCCCCACACTCATGTCCTGCTGAGCTGGACTTGGCCTGAGAAGCCCCCTCCAGCCAGCCCTGGAGGAGCCATTCCCAGCCCACCCATGGTGGCACAAGAGAGAGAGACGAAGCCCATTAGCCATCACTGGCGTGGAGCCAGGGCCAAGGCTGCGTGTTAGGAAGCCAGGCAGGGGCAGCCTGGGGCCACTCCGGAGACCCTACCAAGTCTGCGGGAGGGGTCAGCACACCCTGCTGGGCTCCCCTCCCATCTGCCCACCCAGACCAGGCTGTTCCTTTCCCCCTAACCCCCCCAGGTTCAATGGCGAGGAAGTCTGCACCTGCCCTCAGGCCTCCGTCCCTGAGCAGTTTGCCACTGTTCCCTGGAACTCCTTCAACCGGCAGGTGCTCAGCGCCCTGTACGGCTTCGCCCCTATCTCCATGCACTGCAACAAGTCCTCGGCCGTGCGATTCCAGGTACGCCTGCCTGCCAGTGACCGGGGCGCCCACCCTCGCCCCTCTCCCACAGCAGCGGCAAGTCCTGCAGCTGCCCGCCCCCTGTGCCTCAGGCCCCCCGGAGGACCCCAGTGTGGGGTGACAGGAAACAGAGAAGTCAGGTGGTGACAGACAGGCCCGACAGACAGCCTGCGGAGGGAGAACTGACAGCGCCGCCAGCAGAGGCACTGGCCCTCCTGGGCGCCATCAGGATGGGGACTAATCCAGGTGGTGAGAGCTGGGCGCCAGCACCCTCCCCCCCCAGCCTAAGAATAAAGCGCAGGAGGAGGGGCGGGCGAGAAAGCAAACTCCTAGAGAGAGCGGTTTCGCCTCCTTATCTGAGACTCGCCATTCAGAGGCCTCTCCTTGACTCCCCAGCACGCGCTGCCTGTGGAGGCTGGGCTGTGGCTGACCAGGCAGGGGAGGCTGTGCAGACGTGGGAGGCAGAGTCCTTGGAGGCAGCTGGGAGCCGGATTCATTGCTCAGTCCAACATCCCCAGCACCCAGGGCAGGGCTAACGCCGGCTCGGCTGAGGGGGGACGTCTGACGGGGTCAGAACGTGGCACTTGATGCAGCCTTGCCAGGGAGAAAGGGCTAACAGCTCAGCCCCCCCCAGGAGCTCTGGCTGCTTCGTCTGGGTGATGACTGAAGTGAGGGTGGGAAGCGAGGTGGGGGGCCTGGAAAACTCCCAGGAGACGATGGCAAGTAGTAACGTGGGGTGGGCGGGGTGGGTTTGATCTGGGACGAGTTAAGTTGGAGGGCAAGAACCCAAGAGGTTGTTGGGAAAAGTGGCTGGGGAGGTAGTGCCCCGTTTACCCCCTCCAGCCTCAGTTTACCTCCTGGTTCCTTCCTTGCAGGGTGAATGGAATCTGCAGCCCCTGCCCGAGATCATCTCCAAGCTGGAAGAGCCCACCCCTCAGTGCCCAGCCAGCCGGGGTCGGAGTCCCGCCGGCCCCACCGTGGTCGACATTGGTGGAGGCAAAGGTTGAGGGGGGGCTGTTTCCTCGCTCCCCCTCCATGCCATCCCTGTGGACTCATGCCAGCTCTGTGCACCCTCACCCTGTCAAGACCCCCGTGGAATTAGCTCTGTGTGTCCAGGATGAAGGGGCTGGCCAAGCCCCTGCCTGGACCATGGTCCATTCCAGCATTCTCCCCTCAGGGACCCGCTGCATGGCTAAGAGGGTCCCACCTAGGACTGGCTGGACCAAGGCCCTGTCCACACCCTTCCGATGCAGAGTAAGGATAACCCGCCTTGGTGGTCTAGAGTCCAGGGGCCCGAAGCCCTGCCCATCTCGCCAGGAGGGGCCCGTCCTCCTGGGACATGAGCCCCGCCCGGCTGTGGGGCAGGCTCCTCTGAGACGGCCCGCATCCCCAGCCCCTGCTGATGGTGACTTGTGTGGTGTGCCAGTGCCACTTGGATGTTTCCCCACGGAGCGGCTTGCCTGTCGCAGTGGGCGTCTTCCCTGAGACGGAGGCAGGACGAGCCACTTAGCTAGTTAGAGACGTGCCTGGGAAATTGCTCCACTGCAGGGTAAATAGATATTTTCGCCCACCTAAAGGCAAACCTAACAACAACCCTCACCACCACCAAAGACAAGACGGCGAAGATCCAGACAAGGATCCGGGTGCCAGCTCCTTGGGGAAATGGGGCGATTAGCCCAGGCTGCTTCTCTCCACGCTGGAACGGTGGTTAACAGACCATCTGGGCTCTGGGGTCAGACCTGTCAGAAGCCCGGTTCCATCTCTGGGGCTGGGTGTCACTCGGGCGGGCCATTTCACCTCCCTCACCCTGGGTTTTCTCATCTGTAAAATGGGGCCAACGCTGTGTGGGTTGATGAGATGATAAAGTCCCCATGGGGGCCAGCACCCGGGGAAAGCTAATACAGGGCGGTGTTGCTCCCACGAGAGAAAGCCTCGTCTGAACCTCCTCTCCGTGCCAGCGCTCTGCTCCATGGCACAGCTGGAACAGGCCCCACGCTTCCCGGGTCAGTCTCCACCTCCCCCCCTCGGAGCTGCCTCCCATGTCAGGCTGCTCTCTGACGGTTTCTGCAGAGAGTAACAGATGGGGCTGTGTTCCGCCAATTCAGCAAAACTCTGTGCAGCCTTTAGGAGAGAGAGGGTGATGGATGGGCCTCCCAGTGCCCCCTTTACCCCCCAGCAGAGTCAGCTAAGCGGCTCCTTCTCCTTCTGTGAGCCACTTCATTACAGACAGGAACAAACGGGCCCGGACGCTCTGCACTGCACCCTATATAAATCACGGCTTCCCGCGCCGTAAGTCATGGGGCGCAATGGCTGTGAAACGCCAGGCCCCGATAGAAGCTGGAGCGCAGGCCGGCCCTTCGTCATCTTTATGGCCTCGGGTGACAGGTGCAGGAGAGGCCGCTCCCCAGAAGGGGCAGGCCTTGGAAGGTGTCCTGGAGCATGCCCAGCCTCTGGCCTTGGTCTTCCAGCCCAAGCAGACCCTTCCCTCTGATCATGCCCCACTGCCGGCCCGGACTGGGGTCCTGGTGAGCACAGAGCTCTGGGAGAGGATGTGAGGGAGACCCGCAAGCCTCGGGCAAGCCTGCCCAGGCCCACCGCGCCCTTCCTTGCTGGCCCCTGCTATCACCTTGTTCCCCAAATGCCCAGGAGGCACCTGCCACATTCCAGTCTCGTCAACAGGGGAGCCGAGGTTCACAGAGGAGAAATGCCTTCCCCGGGTCCCCTCCAGAGGATTAGTGGGAAATCACACCCAGTTCCAGAACCTTCCGCCATCCACAGTGACAGTTCACACACACACTTCACTCACTCTCCCGCCCTCAGGCTGGTCATCCTCTTCCTCCTGGGGCAGCCTGTTGGGCTCTCCTACAGAGACCACCGCTTGCTCCCTGCCCCAACCCGGTGCCCGGCTCTGACAACACCCCACCCAATCATCACATTCGGTGTCATTGATATTAGCTGCCACAGTGTGCACACTGGTTCTGTGCTAACACTCCCAATACACCTACAACATATGTGCTGTTTCTGCTCTCATTGACAGAAGGGGAAACTGAGGCTTCCAGAGAGCTCTGGAGCCCAGAAGTAGCCATGGTCTGTCTGACTGCAGTCTGGGCTCTCACCCTCCACTTCCTTATTAAAGAAGTAGGCAGAGTCCCTGGCCCTTGTGAGGCCTAAGCAGGGACCGCTTGGTGAAAGGCTTTATTACTTGAAAACAGCCTGTCAGCGGGAGGGACTACCATGGCCAAGCCCTTCTAGCGACTCTCCAGGCTCGCCTGTCTCCTGAAGGGTTGCAGTGCTGGGAAGAGCGAGGAGAGGTGAGAGTCTAGCAGCTTGTGCTCCCATTCCTCCCTCTGCTGTGTGGCCCTGGACAACTTGCTTTCCCTCTCTGGGCCTCCATCCTCCATCTGCCCACTGAGAAGGTTTCCCAGCTTCCTGGGGGTGGGGGCTGCTAAGGTGACATGACTCACTAGCTGTGAGGTGCCTAGAATCCCAGGCTGAGATGTGCTCACATAGGATCAGTGTTGAGAGGGCCAGGGGTAGAGGGGGTGGGGGTGTTCCCAGGCTGCAGGCTCCAGCTGGAGCAGACGGGTCTGCCTGAGCTGATCCCAGGATGCTCCAGAGCTGTGCTGTCCAGTAGTCTTTAGCCTCATGTGGCTATTGAAGCTTAATTTTAAATGAATTAAAATGATATAAAAAGAAACATTTGGGTTCTCGGTCACACCTGCCACATTTCAAATGTTCAACACGTCTATGTGGCCTGTGGCTACTGTACCGGACAGCGCAGATAGAAAGCATTTCCATCATGGCAGAAAGTTCTACGGGGCCATGCTGCCCTGGGGGCTGTGGTCCCAGACAGCACCAGCTGAGCAGAGCTGCAAGGGTGCGGGGGCACACACATCCTCAGAGCTCTGAGCCTGTCCCCAACGGGCTGCAGGGGGCCTGGCTCTGGCCGGCTCTGGAGGGAGTAGCTGGACCACCTCAGGGGTGCAGGCAATTCCAAGGCAGTGTTTTGGGGAGAACGTGTTCACGGCTGAGCATGATCACTCCTGCTGGAAGCCTCCTTGGTCCCCACTGCAAAGCATCAGCAGCGTCCCCATGTCGACCACCAGAAATACCCCACAGGGCTCCCAGCACCCCGGGGAACAGGCTTGGAACGGAGACTCCGGGTCCGCCAATTGTCAAAGGATGTCTCAGTCCCCGGCCCCCATCCCCCATCCTGCAGTGCAGATGGAGAAACTGAGCCCCAGTGGTGCCTGGCTCTTCCCGCCTCCTCTCTGCTCAAAACAAGCTTCTCATGATCGCCAAGTGCCCTGTTAGTCTCTGGGCCTTCTAAATGCACTGGAAGCCACGAGCGGGCTCCCCGGGACATGCACCCATCTATCGTCCTTGTCCCTCTAGGATCCCCTCCCCGCACGTCCGCCCGCCCTGGCGCGGACACCCCACATTCCCCTGAGTTTTCAGGAGCGCCTTGCATGGAAGGCGGTCCACTGAGTCCCATGAATCCCAGGCCAGAAACTTCTGTTTTTTGTAGAGGATTCCTAATAGGGATTTGGGGAGCCTTCAGTGGAAGATTCTAGACTGGAACGCAGGAGGCCCTCACTCCGTGATTTGGAACTTCGGAGGGGCTGGGTCACGGGCTGCTCGACAACTCAATTTAAGTGGGGTCTAGAAGTGCCCTCAAACACATCTGCTGGTAAACAGAGAGGTCTGGACCCGGCGTGGACTCAGGACCACCACAGATGCCCCAAGCTGGCCCCCTGTCCCCCAGTCCCTCTAGTCCCGGGTCTCACGTCCCCCAAGCCTCATTCCTCTGTCCAGTCTGAAATACTTTCCCAGGGCCAGCTGGGGATCAGGCCCTGTTGTAGGCACTCGGGATGGAACTGTGAGCAAAAACGTGCCACCTCAAGGGGCTACATTCCATTGAGGGAGAGAGGCAGACAGTGGACAAGAAGGAGAGCCTGCAGTATGGAGAGGGCTAAACGGATCAGGAGGGGAAGATGGGCTGTGCAGGGTGGCCGTCGGGGACAGCCCGGCTGAGAAAGTGGCATTAGTTAAAATCCTGAAGGAGATGAGGAAGGAGTCCCATGGGTATCTGGGAAGAGGGCCTTCTGGAAGAGGGACTGGCAGTGCAAAGGCCCTGAGGTGGGGATGAATCTGATGTGTTCGAGTAACGGTGAGAAGGCCGTCGTGGCTGAGCAGAGGTGGGGCAGGAGCAGCCAGAGAAGTCGGGGGTCAGAGAGGCTGTGATGGGGAGGCAGAGGCCAACGGAGGCCAGTGCAGTAACCAGGGGCAGGTGTGGTAATGCAGACCAGGGAAGCCGCAACGGGGGTGCAGACACGGGGTCAGGCTTCAGGTATACTTGGAAGGGAGAGCCAATGAACTTGCTGGCAAATTCTAGAATGTGAGCAAGCAGATAAAGGACATCTTCACATAGGCTTCCATATCAGGACTCATCCTGCAGAACTTGGCCGGCGGGCCAGAGGCCTGAGGTTGTGACCCTGACTTCTGGCCGTGGGCACATCCCATCTTCCCACCCCTTGTTCTGTGCCCAAGTCTTTGCCTCTGTGTGGGGACCTTTGCCCTCTGTCCCCTCACCAGTCGGAAGTCAAAGCTTCGCGCTGGGCTGCTTCCTCATCTGAAGGCACCTGCTCTTCTGGAGGTGGGAGGAGGTGGGGGGGACGGGGAGGAGTCGGTTACCCCACCCCCGTGGTGGCAGTTGCTAGAAGATGCCAGGAGCACTCACTGCGGGAGGACCTGGCCCATGCAGAGCCTGGCCCGTGGCCCTGTCTCCTGGTGTGGCCTGCTGAGCCCGAGGTGGGAGGGGCCCTGAGTTAGCCCAGCATTTGGAGGGTCAGCATAGTCACACGGGGGGCCTTGGACTTTAAGCCGTTAATGTGGGGAGACTGGGAGGGGATCCGGCTCATGCTGGGGTGTTCTGAGCCCTCCCAGCGCTGCGGTGAGCACCGCCAGAGCCAGCTGGTGGGCCAGGGGCTGTGGCTGGACAGGGAGGGAGTTGGGCAGGCCGTCTGGCGGGGCTTCCTCTCCAGGGTCTGGAAGATGCAGGCTGTTGCGTGTCTTGATGCGACCCAGCTCACAGGGGCCACGCTCCACTGAGCCCTTCACGGACACTGGCATCTGCTCCTCCCCACGGCCCACAGGATGCCCATCCTCTGCTCACGCACCAGGTGAGGACCCTTGGAGGAGTGAGGGCCTTGCCAGGGTCCCAGGGCTCCCGCCTGGTGGGCCCCCTCCACGCTCACTTCCGAGCTACCCGGAGCAAGGGGGCTCAGCTGCTCGCCTCTCCAGCAGAGACTTGGGTAGGATGTGCCGGCCATCCCTGGGCAAGCCCTCTGGCCTCCCTGTGCATCCTCCCATGGGGTAAGGATGAGATGAGCACTCAGGCCACACCAAGGCTGGAAGGGGCTTCCGTGGGGGCAGGGAGGGTCCTCAGCACTCAGGAGCCCCACTGGAGGCTTCCCCCAGCTGAAGCAGAGCGAGGGAGAATGAGGGCTGTGTCCCCCATGTCCCCTTTGCAGATGAGGTGGCTGAAGCCCAGGGGTCACTGCCCAGGTCAGATGACAGGTCAGACTCACGCCAGGACCTTACCACGTGACAGGCTTGTTGTCCACAATCGCCTAAGTGTTCCCCTGCACCTGTCCTTTGCCAAACGCTTTTGCTGGCACTCTCGTCAGCTTTGTTGGAGAGAGGTGGGCCCCGTGCCGGCTCCGCGCATGTGAGGCGTCAGGGAAGTGAGGGACTGGGAGTCGCCTGGGCATTCCACTGCCAGGCCCTTGGTCCTCCCTAGAGAGATGGGCACCTCATCCCTGCCAGCCGGTTTCTCCCCACTTACTACAGGAGGACCGGAGGCGAGTGCTGGCCGGGCCGCTGTGATGCAAATGCCCTTGCTGGGCACAGGGGTCTGGGACCCATGTGGCCTCTTCTGGCCCAAGTGCAGCCAGCCATGGCCACCTGCTCCAGCTGACAGACAGGAGCTAGCAGGGGAGTTGGGTAAGACGGGGTTGGCCATCTGCCTGCCGCAGGGGCACCACTGTGCCCTAAGCCCCTTCCAGGAGGCTTTGAGCTCCAGGGACCACGGGGCTGGCATGCAGGTTGCGTCTGAGGGCACAGGAGGCCCCCTTTCTCCTCCCTTTCGACTTCTGGCCAAGCGCAGGCCAGTTTGCCCAGAATTCCTGATAGGCAGTACTCAGAGCCACCGTTCGGGCCATGGTACTCATTTTGTCCAGAAAAACCTTCAAAAATGGATGTAGCAACAGGTGTCTCCAGATTAGGGGAAGGGAGACTGCCCGGGGTCACTGGGGTTGGACGTGCTCCCAGGGGAGGGTGATGTCATCCCTAGGTGACCCATGCCAGACACACAGGGCCGGAGCATGGCTGGACCTTCCTGTAGCCAGCAGGATAAAGAGGGTCAGCTCAGGGGCAGCTCACGAGGGCCTCTCTCAGGTCATGACCCCATGCCCTCTCCAAAGGGACGGGGTTATTTCTCGTGGGCAGAGGAGAAAACGCACGAACAGGGAGGACGCACGTGACAGTTTCTGTTTCCGAGCTCAGCCCCCGAGGAAGGAGTTGGACTGAGACCCGTGTCAGCCTCTCCTTGTCCTCAGCCCCCACCCAAGGACAGGCTGTGGAATGAACACGTCCACCGGCCTCATCCAGGGGTCTGCGGCCAAACCACAGAGCTGGGGGAAGCAGGCCAGGCCATGTGGGAAGCCACTCCCCGGCCCCCTGGGCCTCCCCCAGGCCTCTTATGCGGGAGCTGGGCCCCATGAACCCGGGGGCTGCAGGCATTCCTTGGGCCCCGGGAGTGTGACAGCCAGAGGCCCCGCTCCCCAGCCTGCGGTCTGGCCAGGGGGCCGAAAAGCTCTCCATAGGCCATCTGAAACCCGAACTTCTTCCCACGGCTTCAACTTTATTAGTCTGACCTGTTCCAGCTCCGTCCACAGCAGGGCTACAGGGTGTGAGCATCTGGAAGCAGCCAGGGCCCCCCAAGGATTG